CTCAGTTTTTCGTCCCATCTGAACGATGCAGGGATCGAACACCCGACCTCCATGCTAGCGAGCCAGCGTCTTGCCCACTTTGTGGAAACATTGAAACAAAACATACCCCTTATCAGCCTTCTGCATTGACCGAGAAAGTTCATTGGGATTTTCCGATGTGGTTTTCTCTTATCAGTGGTGCAGGACGGAGGGCCTGATAAAAGCAGCCGTCTAGTCGTTCGTATGGTTACGAAAAACCGAGGCCCCGTGTATACATTGGCGTGCACATGAAAGATCCCTTGGCATTGGAATTTCATATAAGAGTAGGCTGTAGTGCCACTGTTAGGGTAAAATTTCCCTCACAGCACACTGTCTTCATTAGTCTAGTCGGAATAGGACGTTTGACCCTATTTCATTTCACAAACATTAGTTTTGAGAAACATAGAATGTTTTACAATAGAGGTTAGTGCATTATAAAAATCAGTTGTGTAACATCATTAATAGATCACGGTGGCTAGGTGGTTAAGACGCTGGCTCGCTAGCCTAGGAGGTCGGCTGTTCGATCCCTGCATTGGCCGAGAAAGTTCATACTGATTTTCTGACGTGGTTTTCCCCTAGTCAGTGGTGCAGAAAGAACAGCTGTCTAGTCCCTTCGGATGAGACGAAAAAACCGAGAGGTCCTGTGTATACATTAGAATGCACGTAAAAGATCCCTTGGCTGTTGGAATTCGATATAAGAGTAGGCGATAGTGCCGCTGCCCGGGCAAAATTTCCTTCATAGCACACTGTCATGGCGTATGCCGTCTTTATTAGCCCAGTATAGGAGCAAAACTGTAGGACGTTAAACCCCATTTCATTTCATTTGTTCCTTCTACATAATAAGATGGCGAATTTTGACTCCCGAGAATTTGGATTAATGTCAACTGATTTTGAGAATTAATGTAAACTACTTTCGAACATGCAATTGTACCGTTAAAATCTCTACCCAAGTTCATGGTGGTAATTGGCGATCGTTAGTAAGATGTTGTTAAACATTTATTCAGAAATGTGTTTGTCTTGATCATGTTTTGGCACTTAACTGTATATTTAGTCAAAAAATGTTCACATCGCACTCTGTTTTTATTCAATTATTATTGAATTCTAATTATTATTAGGGGGGTTGGATGGCCGAATGGTTAGCACATGCACACTGTATCATAAGGTCTGTCATTGAGTCTGTTCTGATACCCCGAGTGTATGTGACAAGGAATAGGGTTGCCTGTCCGACCTCGTGGGTTTCCTCCCACTGCTAAACATCCCTACACGCAAGCAAATTACTGAAATAAAATTGAACCATGTGTTGGTCCCGAAATGACCTAGTTTGTGTCAATTGGATGTTTAACCCCATTTCTCTCTCTCTCTGTCTCTTGTTCTCTCTCTCTCTCTCTGTCTCTTGTTCTCTCTCTCTCTCTCTCTCGTTTGTGTCCAGTGGGTCTCTCTCTCTCTCTCTCTCTCTCTCTCTCTCTTGTTCTCTCTTGTTCTCTCTCTCTCTCTCTCTTGTTCTCTCTCTAATTATTATTTTAAGTTAAAACTATTGAAAGGATATGATCACTCTTCGGCCATTACTGACCCTATTTGCTCAAACAAGCAGACATTATAGAATGTTATGTTCTCTCTTTCTCAGGGTATATCTCCCATTTATTGCTCTTGTCCTTACGTTTATTACCAACAGGAATGATGGAATGAAATGCTAATGTGGTGCCATTTTACTAATTGCTTATTCTCATGGCTAGTTTTTCAGTACACCTGTACTTATTTTGGTCAGTGTGATTGATACACGGATCCTCCGATTTTCCGTCATAAAAGTAGATTCTTGAAGAAATTTTGAATAATCTGAGCTCCCGAAGAGAAAAGAGACAAGATCAGCCAATGAAATGGGTTGTTTAGTCAGACTTTTGGTAAAGTGCAAAATTGAATATTAATAGTTTATATCTATTCAAACTTCAGTTTTGTGAACCACGATTTGACCTTTATCCTAAACCTATTACAGTATATTAACATACACTGTAACTCAGGTATCATTTAATCTTGTGTATTTAGCACTAATTTCTTTAAAAGTGATCGAGAAATTAAACACTTGTAAATTGGACACTCATCAAAATTGAATGGTCAGCTTTAAACTGGACACAAGTACAAATTAGATGATTTTTGATGATTTTAAACGATTTTTACAATCTTTTAAACGAAGATTTGATATTGAATGTATATAGAATGGAGGTCATAAAAAGTATTTAAAAGATTAAAGACAAAATTTAGATCTTTATTTTAATTAGATTATTTAGTCAAATACTGTAATACAGTAGAAGACCTTAAAAGTTAGAGGTTTTTTTTAAGATATTTTTTTGGGTCAAATCAGTATAACACTATAAAAGTAGATGATTTATCTTAACATTTTGATTGTTAATCCATCATTTTGTGACAAATGTTATATTTATGATTGATATGCCCAAATGCTGATGCTCTTGGCTTGCTTTTTACATGTACAATAATTTGAAAAATATAAAGTCTAAATTGCAAAGGTCTAGTAAATAAAATGGATTATTGGCTTGGTTTATTGTTATTAAAGCGGAAATTGCAAATTTTTAAGTTATATTTTTAAAATTTATTAAAATGAAGCCTGAAAATAGATGGTATTCATAAACAGTCCTACCTTGTTAAAGAATAATCCTATTAATCCTAAAATTCACTATTGCCAGCTGAGAAATTGGCAAAAATATCATTTTCCTCTTCATTTTCAAACGTTTAAAAAAAGCTACTCCATTGTGGAGAATAGAAAACTAGGGAGGTAATTGTGTTATTATTTCCTGTGTAAATGAGTTTTAAGTGTGAGAATGACACCTATGATCGTATAATTGTGAGTTGACAACCAATTGAGCAAAAGACATAGAAATAATTACATTTTGACTTTCTTAGAAAATTTGCAATTTCTGCTTTAAGAGACTTTTTATACGTCCACATTTTCATGTGGACGTTTTTTGTTGTTGCCCATGTCCGTCCCTCCACAATTTGTTTGCGGACACTCTACAGGTCACAATTTTTATCCGGTTTTGACGAAACTTGAAATAGATCTCCCATAGATTGGCATATCTGGACTTTAACTTCATGTATTATGGCCCTCAGCACTGATTGTACGAAAAATCAAGTTTTTTGCTTGTGGACTCTCGAGAGGTCACAATTTTCATCCAATTTTGATGAAACTTAAAAAACATATTTTTGTATTCCAAATAGATCAGTCCATTTTGATATTCGTGAATTGCTTTTTTCTTCTTTTTTTTGAGCTTGTACTCTATCCATCTCTTGCAAAATGTGGCACACATTAGATCATAAGGTCTGGGATTGAGTCAAGTGACATGGTTTTGATTCCCCAGTTGTACGTGACAAGGAGTAGGGTCAGGTCATCTCTCAAACCTCGTGGGTTTCCTTCCACTGCTAAAGACTGCAATAACAAATTATTGAATTGAAATTGAACCATATGTTAGTCCCAAAATGACCTGGTTTGTGTCAAGTGGATGTTAATCTCTCTCTCTCTCTCTCTCTCTCTCTCTCTCTCTCAATATTAACAGACTTATCTTTATTATTATTACCATTTGAATGGATTGAAAGACTGGCAACTCCCTTTATTCATGTGTGTGTGGATTCAATAACAAGTTTATTGATGTTTTATTGGCGTTTTATAAATACCAACCAAACTACATCCAGTGTTTCTTATTATCAATAGCTAGGCAGACGTCCAATCAACCACAAAAATTCTGCCAAGAGTTTGTAATCTATGCTTGCAGACTGACAATTTCTGTCCTGATGTGTGAAAGTGGTCAATCGGTACCGATAAATTTCGGTAGAAAATTGTTACTTGAATGTCAATCCATGGTAACTCTGAGATTCTGTCACAGATTTATTTTACAACTAGTAATAATAAAGCAGCCATTTTAATTCTCCTCTAGTGAAGGAGCTTGCATTGATTAATTGTGCATCAGATCCAAAACTTAAAGAAACATTCATAGCCAAACAGTCATTTTCGGTTGAACATGGCGGAAATGAATTACCATTATATATCTGCTAGTGTTTTGTTGACTAATACATTATAACACAAATTGGAGCCACAGTGGCCAAGTGGGTAAGACGCTGGCTTGCTAACCTTGGGGTCAGGTGTTCGACTCCCGCATTGGCTGAGAAAGTTCATTAGATTTTCCGACATGGTTTCTCCCTTGTCAGTGGTGCAGGAACCAATTTTTGATTGCCCTCCTTTTTTTTTTAAAAGTCTATTAAAGCCAGACTGGGAGATTGTCGATCGTATATATTTTGTTTTCGTAACTGAAACCTGTAAAAACTTACATATTGCCCAAAAATGCAAATTATGATCCGCATGAATCCAGTAAACAATTCCTGTTTTAGTTAAGTTAGCCAATATTGTTTTCATTACTTAATTTGAACATTTAAAGATTTTTATAAATTGTATACCTGGAATATAATTTGAGTCTTTAAAACTGTCACCCGTCCATTTAAAGTCTTTATGAACATTTTGGAATTCTTTCATTCAAATTTTGTGGAGTTGCTGCACCTTCAGAGAAACCTTACTAAACCTCAGAAGGTCATATTTAATGCTTAAATGACTCACTAATCTCATCCAGAAATGGAAGATGACAAAGCTGCTGGTGGGTACATGGGGGTCATTGTCTGGCAATCAGATTTAAATGTCATAATTGACTCTATTGTTTTAAAAAAGAATTAGTGTATTTTTAAGGCATTCGATCGATATGGTACCGCATTCAAGTACTTATACGACAGCATAATAAAGCTGTGCACAATATTTAACTTAACATGGGGGTCATTGCCTGGCAATAATATTTAAATGTCATAACTGGATCTACGGTTTTAAAAACAAATTAGTATATTTTTAAGGCATTCAATCGATATTGTACCTAACACGACAGCACAATAAAGCTAAGCACAATATTTTATTTACGCTTCTTTTCTTTTTTCAGTGATTGTAAAATAATTCGAGACCCCCAGACATTAAAATCAAAGGGGTATGGCTTTGTCTCGTTCGTCAACAAAATGGTAAGTACCTTGGATTTATCTTGTGTTTTATTTATGTATTTAAAAAGAAAAAAATATTTATACTGTCGCTACTAGTTAGTGAGACATTGGAACTAATATTATACTTGTAAATGGATTCACACTTCAATTGACAAGATTTTATGAAAGGGATGATAAAGAAACAACCAATGTTGAAGAGTAACACATTGTATTTTTTTTTCAAACAAGAAGACATAGACCGTCATCTTGTCTGGTAACTAATTAATGTTTTATAAAAAAAATACATCATCTTATCTGATGTCTCGAAAGGTTTAGAGGATGGCATTGTGTTTTTCTTCCCCTTTATTGAACAGATTTTTTTTAATACCCTTTTTTCTCTATGATTATTTTGTCACATGTTGCTAGCAATTACCGTTCTGCCAAGCCTCAGAGTTAAAAAATAAACAACTACATTTTACACAGCTACAGATGTCCCCAGTATAATTTATTCACAACTGGTTTCCTGTGTGGGCCATGCCTATGAATTTTTAAAGCTAAAAACACAAGGATTATAGTTTGAAGCAGAGTGCTTAATCTGCTGTTTTCCGGAGTCTGTAGCCCTTTCATGAAACAAAGAACCAGTCAATGTGTATCATAAATCAATCTTTCAGTTCGATTACAAAGAATTAATTATTATTTGCTAATCATTAAGAGCCCTACCTTTGTGAAAATCAGAAACATGGCAAATGCGGAGTTCATTCACTTATAATAATAATAATTAATTTATATATGACCAACAATTCAACTCGATGAGCTGCTCGCAGGCGCTTTACATAAGTACAATATAAAATTAGAACAATCACAACACCTTAGTCCATAAAAAAGACATAAACAAAAAACAGGGAAGATTGTTTAGTGCACATGGTAAAAGTCTGACACAAAGACATCTAGAACCGTATTTCAATCAGATGTATATTTACCCCCACTACTAAAGACCCCTACGCACTAACAAATTTTTGATATAAAATTGAACCATATGTTAGTCCCGAAATGACCTAGTTTGTGTCAAGTGGACTTAAACCCTCTCTCTCTCTCTCTCTCTCTCTCTCTCTCTCTGTTAAACCACATTTCATTTCATAACATTTGTTTGGAATGTCTCTTTGGTATCTGGCAAAAGTTAGTTCAAAGTGAGACTTGAATTAAATTAATAAAATTTGAGTGCCACACGTGACATTTGAGACACTGAACACATTTGGTTTAGTTAATAAACAAATCCATGTTTTATTGTAATACTTGAATTTAAAAACATGCCATTTTTTTTTTAGCATCCTCCCAAAATGTAATGTTCTTAAAGGCTCAATACCATTCTTGTTGTAACTGAATAATATGTCCCAATCTTTATTCTAGTCAACAAATTGTACTATTTTACAATATTCCAATTAATTGATGATACAATATTTCATCTTAACACACCTAATTTAAAAAATTGGAAAAATTCAACTAAATGATTTGAAAAGCCTAACGTAAACCTTTTCAAATATTTTCGAACCCTCTGGACAAGTAAAATAGGATGTAATGGATAATTTACACAGCAGGTAGGACAGTTAAACATCTAATACTTAGAATAAGGCTATTATTTATTTGCTGGAGCTGTCAAGCCAGCAAGAGTGTTATTGTCCCTTTAATGCTATATCCACATTCTTCTATGCATATATAATAAAGACGAAGCCACTGAGGCTAAGTGGGTAAGAGTAAGACGCTGGCTCGCTAGTTTGGAGGTTGGGTGTTCAATCCCTGCATTGGCTGAGAAAGTTTATCAGGATTTTCTGACGTGATTTTCTTTTGTCAGTGGTGCAGGACAGAGGGCCTGACAAGGACAGCTGTCTAGTTGTTCGGATGGGACAAAAAACGGGGTCCTGTGTATACATTGGCATGCACGTAAAAGATCCCTTGGCAGTTATAATTCGATAAGAGTCGGCCATAGTGTCGCTGCCTGGGCAAAATTTTCCTCATAGCACACTGTATGTCCGTCTTCAATAGCCCATTCGGATCAGAATGGTTGGACGTTAAATTCCATTTAATTTCATATAATCGAGAAGTGGATACATGGATGAGACTTTATCATGTGATGATAAATGATCCGTGTGTAGAGAATCTTTCTTTTTTTTCTTTTTTTTTTGATGTTTGAATTATTAAGCAGGATAGTACGAAGGTCTGGGTTTTAATTATAAGAAATAATAGAGTTCTGAAAGCTGCAAGGGAAATGTGAATGGAAACGGTGACATGTTTGTGACTTTAGGTTGTGGAAGGGGATAAGCTGCAATCCCTAATGACCAGTTGCTGATATACTACTCTGTCACTGCGACAGTTACTATAGCAACTGGAGAAAATTGAGAAAAAGAGGGTGATTTTCTCTGTTCCTGTGACAATTCTCTAAGCTTGTGTGATATCACTTCATGTTAGTGTTTATATATCATTAAATATTTTACAAAGATTCTCATTTAGAATACGATAAACGCTGGCCGGCTTCACCACGATATTATTAACCAAGTTAACAAATTAGTAAAGAATATAATACCAGGATATAGAGGGTTTGTTTGTCATTCCATTAACGCCTTGGATTGAACTTTGCATGTAAAAATACCATTAGCTTGAAGCAGCAACAGCCTAAGCCGCGCTGAAACAGATTTTTAACACCTTATTCTCTCGGATAGCCTGTGTCAAGATACATTAATACATTCAATATTAACCAATGAAAAAGATAATTTGCTCATGATTATTGCCTATAGAAACGTATCGTTTGAGTGGATTATGGTCATTTGGATATTTAGTTGGATGTTGAATTCCCGTAATGTAACAAACATTATCAGTCGATTTGCAAGCTTACTGACAATAATGATCTTGTTATGGTAGTTTATTTTGATAGGTCTAATTCACTTAATGATCTGTTTTTACCTCAAACAAAGAGGAAAGGAATTTAGCAAACAAGAAATCTCTATATTCCAAATTTATAAGAATTTGTTAGAAATCATAAGGGATGGGTATTGGGTTTTCTATAATCGCAAATTTAATAAGTTGGTGTGAAAAGTTAATTCTTTGAAGTGTGCAACATGTCTTGAAATTATCAGTGACAAGAGACCGTAATTTCTTTTTCTTTCTCATCAAAGCATGTCATTGCATCATGAGATTATTCTCAATTTTCTTGAACATCCAGGCTCAATCTGGCAAAAGGAATAATAAAATTTTCTTTTCAACTTTGTAGCTAAAATATTAATTTATCTAGAAATAATGATCTATGAAACTGCCAATGATAACCAGTTCCTATTTGACAGGTCTTGGTTTTTAATTGTAAAATGTTTTCAGTATAGCCCACATCTGTAAATGAAACAGGGTTTAGCATCCTCTACTTAAAAATTTGCATCGTCTTGGCTAATGGAAGATGGGCATATATAGTGTCCTATGAGGATAAATTTGTCCAACAGCAGCACTTCGGCCTATTCATATTTCAAATTCCAACTGCTAAGGGATCTTTTATGTGCATGGCAATGTATACACGGGACCTCGTTTTTTTGCCCCATCCCAATGCCTAGACAGCTGTGACGCCTTCCGTCCTGCACCAATGACAAGCGGAAACCACGTAGGAAAATCCCTATGAACTTTCTCGGCCAATGCCATCCGTCCTGCACCACTGATGAGGAAAATCCAAGGAACTTTCTCAGCCAAACTGGTATCGAATCCAAGACCTTTTGATTCGGAAGCTCCCTATACATCTATACGTTACAATGATTTTAAAGTAAATTATCGGTAATTTCTCGATCAATTAGAAGTACTGACTATTCATAATCTATTGGGTTTTTTTCTATCCTTAAATTAATAAATTTGCCAAGTTTTAATAGGCAATGCATTACTTGTTTGATATAATCCAGTTGTTCAATACCTCTTGTCCGACTTTTCTTTTATTTAAATCGAGTATTAAAATGATTGATATATTTAACTGTAAATCGTGGGCTTACAATTGAGACAATGACTGGGGACGACTAGGGAAACCATTAGAATTAAGAGATAAAGAATGTAATTATAGGAATTAGTAAGATTGATTTAACCACAAAAAGTGATTAATTTGATTGACTTTCTTTTCCTTGATTTATTTCCTGGCTTTATGTCATGAATATTTCATTATGTATTCCCCAGAAACATGTTGGAAACTTGCTTTCCTCGGCTCTAAGCTTATTTGATGGCATCTGCACGTAAGGAAGCTGTTACTTCGATACGAAATTAAAATGGCTACTTTGGAAAAAGGAACAAATTTCTAATCTAAATTTTTTATATCTAATGTGTCTCATTATTTATTGTCTTTTCTATGAACCCCCCTGTGTATCGCCGGGATCCAAGTACAGATGTCTTCCGATCACTAATCTCCAGCTATCTCAGACCCCGAGTTCACAAGATCTCAGACTTAAGAATTTACTCAAAATTGTTCGTCTTATTTTAACTAAAATATAGTCCGTTATTAAACTTTTGTTTTAATGCATCAAACACATCAATAAGAAACTTACGTGCAAAGAATTTACTCAAAATTGTTCGTCTTATTTTAACTAAAATATAGTCCGTTATTAAACTGTTGTTTTAATGCATCAAACACATCAATAAGAAACTTACGTGCAAAGAATTTACTCAAAAGTGTTTGCCTTATTTTAACTAAAATATAGTCCGTTATTAAACTTTGGTTAAATGCATCAAACACATCAATAAGAAACTTGCGTGCAAAGTTTTGTGTTTCTGGATCAAAGACATTTCTCATAAACAGTGATTGAAAGTTGAGTAAATTCTTTAACTTAAGTCTGAGAATGCTTTGTCAACTCGGGGCCTGACCTCACTTTAAGAGAGTTGTTGTAGTCTTCTACTTAAATTTTTATAAATATTAACTGAACAATTTTTAAACTTTTTTTTTCAAATTTAAACCTAATTTTTCAAATTTTATCCATATTTTCGATCATTGAAGTTAGATTTCTTTTTTCCCCCTGTTCTTTCGTCTGACTTTT